ATAAATTTAAAATTTACACATGGGTTTGGAAATGCTTGAGACAGAAACAGTTCAGAATATCCTGCATTTGTTCATGGAGCAGGTAAAGCGAGTTTGTGAATATGGAATATGGAAAATAATAGGATTTTCTGGTGGCCTAATGTCAGGTAGGGGGTGTTGGTAAGGTTATGAGCGCAACCATAGTACTAGAGTGATGATCCAGGGCAAGAAGAGAGCAGAGAGGATGATCCTGATGATGATTATGTAGTGGTAAGATGTCTGCAAGGAGAAAACTCAGATGATGGATCATTGTGTAAGTCAGATTTAGTGTGAAAAGAGAGAGAAATGGACTGAAAGGATGTCAGCTTAATTTGAGCAAGGAGAGGTTGCTCAATTATTTTTTTTTAAATGAATTCAAGACAATTGGTTGGAGAATGTTCATTTATGGAACTCTGAAAATCTAAGTAGAAATGCTGAGTGCTAGTCAGTGCAGTATTTTATTTGCTCCTTGCAGTTGTCATACCTGAGAAATATGGGAAATCTGTTGGTCTGACTGTGGAATGGGCTGGTTGAATTATGTGGAGACAGGGTATGAAAATGGATGATGAAGGGAGTGGTGGTAATATGTAGTGGACAAGAAAATGAAAGCTGAAGTCAAACAGGTAGGGTCCCAGGTAACCTCCTGGCAGTGTGACCATGAGTGATAATTTTCCTCACCTGCAAAATGGAGATGAAAAGAGTACTTACCACACTCAAGTATTAAAAGGATTAGATGAAATGATACATTTGAAGGACAGTACCTGAATTTCATTATGGCCACACAGAGGAAAAGGTAACTTCTCTAAAACACAATGCATGCACACATGAGATAAAATTATCAGAAAAATATAGTTTTACAGGGTTAGAGATAATAAATCTGGATCCACCAGTTACCCTGAAATAGTGGAAGGAAGTCTGTGCTAACAGGATAGTGAAAAATGATGACAAACTTGTTGATTCTACACATAATGTCTCCAAAGTTCCATCTGGGAAGCAGTCCAGAGCATTTTGAAGAGGATTAAGATGTCCTTTACAACAACTCCTCATTACTTTTTTGACACGGTTTAATCTCTAAAAAATGCCTGGAATTATAACTGAATCTCAGTTGGAGATCATGCAAAATCTTACCAAGAACATTCTCATTGCATGAACTTTGAAAATGAATGGCCTGCATTGCCTAAAAGGTCAACCACAAATATCAACAAGGAAAAAAGTCATGGATATGATATGAGCAAACTATAAGATCAGAAGCCATTGGAGATTAGGAAAATGAACCCCAAAACTATGTGAATGATTAGGGAACATATTAAATGTGATATAGAGTGAAGAACAAAGAGAGGCAGGCATTAAACATGACTAGAAAATGAGGATTATCTCACTGGGAAAAGAAAAAACAAAAATGAGTTAAAAAAAAATAGTTTCAATAAGTGGAGGAGGAAGCGTTAAGAAAACAGATCAAGCTGTTATAACTCTGAGCCACAGCAAATGACTGATTCTGGAGAATGAAGGATAATATGGCTGAAATAATCAGCAATGGTCAGATTCAATCTAAGTCTGAAAAGTAATCAATACCCTTATTTCACTTGAAATTGCACAACTTGTCAATAGGAGAGCCACAGTGAGATGTGTCCAAAACTCAGAAGGGAGGGAAATGAAATGCCCAGATATGAAAAAAAAAAATCCATTGAAAGGCAGATTAACAGTATTAACACAGCAAAGGAATAAATGTGCTGATCAGAATGGAGTTTTTCTTCCTAAAATATGAAAAAAAACACACTCACAGGCAGGTACAGGGTTGATATTACAGTCACATTAACATCATCCCTGGCATTTTTGGGGGGAGAGGGGGAACACAGATTTTCATAAAAGGGGTATGTGCTTCCAATTGGACTAAGATTTTAGTGCTTTTTACACTTGATCTTAGCCAAAAGACCAAGGAGTGATTAGACTTTAATGACTAAATGGTCATTATATTAGTTTTATGACTCTAGTAATGTGAAATCAACCCTGTGAGATAAACTTTCTTTTGGTGAACACACCATATTTCTGAGCCTATTACACCTAAAAATAAGGCCCTAAGCCCCAGTAAATGCATCAAAATAATAAAAACCAACATGTTGCAGGAAGGGAGTAGGCAATGTGACAGCTAATTATTCTCTCTTCAGTGATGACTGATATCTCTGAGTGCCTTCCTTCTTTATATGTAAAAAATGCAGGTCCAAGTTAAAGGGTACACACACACACACACACACACACACACACACACACGCAAGCATGCACTATAATTCAAAGATAACTGGGAAGGAGTCCAGGGGCTAAGAAGAATCTTTTTTTAATTCCTGAACTTAAGATAGTATAGACAGAGAAGCATTCAGTAGCAATTATCTCCTACTTGAATGGCTGCAGCTATATCCAGAGAAATTAATGTGTATCTCTGGATAATGCATATTTATCCAAATTAATTAGACACCATGGGTTTGAAAATAGACTTCCTGCTAGGATCATAGGGATACAAATAAATCTCACCACACACATACACACAAGTAACATAACAACTTGAGAAATATTACATAAAAAGACAACAATTCTAATATAAATGTCACATTGAATTTATGAAAACATTCTTGCTAAAAGCTGTACATGAACCTCAGAGAGATGACAAAGGGAAGCAGATCATGCACAGACTTTGATGGCTCTGCAAAGCAGGGAGTGACTAGTACTTTTCACAGTATGGCTCTCACATTTTCTTTCAAAGAGGTAAATAAAACTAGCATTATTTACAACACCAATTGTAGGGTTTTCCTCCTTTCTGGTCTCAGACTAAACTGATATTTTCCTTTTGGAAACACTTTGGTGTTCCCTTTCTTCGTGCTGTGATTTAATTGTTCCTTATTGCCAGCATGAATTTTTTTCTGTCCCCATTCACAAATTACTCCTAGACCGTTTCAACATCCCTTCAAATAACTTCTTAAAATCATTACAAAAGATGAAATGATATGATGCCTAGGAGTAAGGTAGAGGTGGGGAGGTGCCAAGAGGGGATACAGACAAAGTAAGATCGAGCATGAGTTGTTAAGCACTGGAGTTGAGAAACAGACACATGGAGGAGGTGACCATAGTAGGCATGAAATATGCCATAATGAAAAATTTAGAGAATTACATCTCCATTATTATTTAATTATATACTTTATGACAATGTTTATTTTTCTGAAAGGCACAGATATTAGGCTAAAGTTAGTAGACATTATATGTTCCCTACTGGCTCATTTGTAATTGAAACCTCTTCCACAATTCCCAGCAGCATCCTGAGATATCTTACCAAAAGACCATACAATGAGGTCAGACCTTTTCCCAAATACTTTCACTTATATAATCATATCAAAAAACTGTAATCAGGGGCCTCCCTGGTGGTGCAGGCAGTTGAGCGTAGCGCTATAAAGCTTTCCGCAACCTCTATAGTGCCAGTTCAATCCCCGCTGACCGTGGAGCAACCCAAATGGAACGGCAGACCTCTTCTGTCTCGCCCACTGCTCCCCTGAGCAGTGTAGTTCGTCAATCTGCCTGTTCTGTTTCCCACTCTGTCTCTGGTGAATCCTCTCACCCTCCTGCACATCTGGCCTGTACCCCAGTTATTGTATAAATAAATCTTTTTTTTTAAAGCTTTCAGTATTTTATTTTATTTTTTTTTAAGATTTATTTATTTATTTAGACAAGCACTGGGTACAGTCAGAAGTGCAGGAGGGTGAGAGAATTCACCAGAGCCAGAGCAGGGAGTAGAGCAGGCAGAAGGACCGAAGTACACTGCTGAGGGGAGCAGCGGGCGGCAGGAGAGGTCTGCGCGCCATGTGGGACCCTCCTCTGGTGGCCGGGGAGCAGCCGGGGATCGAACCAGCGCTGCAGAGGCTGTGGGCAGCTTTGCAACCCAGCGCTCAACGGCTGCACCACCGGGGAGGCCCTAAATAAATCTTTTTTTTTTAAAAAAAACTGCAACCATTTGGGCCACTGTAGCTATTATTTTCCAGATTAAAGGTTAGCTATAAGTTTCTTGGCAATTAAGGTAAAAAGAAAACTATAGTGAGTAATAAAATTCATATTTTGATAATATTGAATATTTTTCCTGACATTAAATTCTAATGTCTACATGAACTTTTTATTTCTATATGAATAACTGACACTATATAAGGAAGCTAAGTAACATAATGATGATGCCTTTAACATGGCTTTGCAGATGAAATGTTTCTCATGTGGCCAGTCTGAGTTAATGCTTCCTCAACACTAAGGTCTGTTACACTTTGTTCAAAGAAGCAAGGCAATGATGCTGGCATCTATGATAGTACTAGTCTAGATACTTAGTACTTTTATATCAACTACTAAGTAAAAAAAAGGAATACATAATCTAGAGGAGTTAATGGAAAGTATGTCCAGATTTTTTGAATAGGATTCTCTCACCCAGGATTTTAAGTAAATTCAGAATTACACTTTTGGTGAGAATTCATATTATAAATTACAGAAAAGTTCAAATGCTTTGGATTTGGGCAGGCAGTTTTCAGGCTGACCTTCAAGCTGGCATATATATATCTATGTTGATGTACATAAATCTTGACATACATATATATGTCAACTTGATATGTATAATTGACTTGATGGTGATATACAATCATGTATAATTAATACATATATAATTATGTATAACTGACATATATATATATATAATTTAGATATATTTACATGCTAGTAAAGCTTTCTTACCTGATAAACAAATTTGAAAGCATCCTGGATAGGGTTCAGGAGGTAAAAGTTCCACTTGTATTTTAATAGTTAATGTAATCTTGGACAATTAACTAACTTTCCTGAGTCGTGTTCCTTTACCTAAAAACTAGGTTACTTTGAAGCACTAATGTGAAATGCTTCTTGGATTCCCCTAATCTTTATGAATGTGAATAAATCTCAAGATGTCACTGAGTCAGTAAAGTTTATCTCACCAGGATTATATCTGGATGACTTTTGCTGGTTTCAACTTCAATCAAAGCCTTACATTTCTGTGCAAACTTTTGACTCTTCTTCCTTTTCATTTCCCAAGAAGAGGCCTATGGCAAGGTATTAACAAAAAATATACAAGGATTAGTAGCAATCAATGGTACCCATTAAACTATCTCATTCTTTATTCTGCATCTATTAACTGCAGTCTTCTGTGGGATAAACAAAGTAAATTCAATTTCTGATCTGTGCCCTCGAGAAGTATATGATTGAGATAAGCACATGTAAAGGTTAAATAACAATACACAACAATATAAAAAGAATATCATAAGGAAACTGAGTTTGAAATGAGTGGCCTAGACTCTGACACTCAATAGTAAATCAAAAGGCATGCAGTATTTTGCAATGGTTCTGAATGATTACTGTTCATTTACTTGAGTAAATAACATTTTATATGAATATACTCTGTTCCTAGAATTTTTACATACATGCTATGGGAATAAGATATGCATTCATTTCAAATTACCTATAGTGGTTTTCTCTTATTACACAGCTCTTAATCAATAGAAAACAATGGTATTACGTGAGCTGTCTGCAGTCATTTTTTGATATTGAAAAAATGCTCTCTTACTTGCAAAGTTGGGAAACCACTGGAATGGAAAATTTTTGATATAGGGAAAGTTCTCCTTTAATTGGAATGGCCAGAGTTAGATTTTCAGGTTCTTTTTTTTTTTTAAGATTTATCTATTCATTTACACAAGAACCAAGGTACAGGCCAGATTCGTGTGAGGGTAAGAAGATTCACCAGAGACTGAGTGGGGAACAGAACAGGCAGACTGACGAAATACACTGCTGAGGGAGCAGTGGGCACGACAGGAGAGGCCTGCAGCACCATGTGGGACCCTCGCTGGCCAGCTGGGATGGAATCAGCACTGCAGAGGCTGTGGACAGCTTCAGAGCATGGCGCTCAACTGCCTGTGCCATCAGGGGACATCCAGATTTTCAGGTTCTTGATGGCAAGAACTGGGTCTTAGTTTCTGAGTTCTCAGAACTTGGAGTATTTAATATGCTTCTGAAATGAATTAATGAACAACATTGAAGGAAAATTCTGAAGTATTAAAGGATGCAGATGATCAATAGTTCTATTTGCAGGAGATAGGATAAAGAAGGTAGAACCTTCTGAGAAATACAGGGTGTGATAAAAACAATTGTCTAGAAAAAAGAATTACCTGTATTAGTGGAGCTGAATTGTGGTTCATATAAACTTATGAACCCTAGGTAATTTCAGAACCATTTTTATCAAATTTTTAGAGCACATAATAGGAGTATATCTGCTTTCCTAATTCCAGCTACTTAAGCTAATAATAAAATTAATCACACTTCCTGCACCTCTTCTGTCTGGTAGTGGTAATGCCTAGTGTGTTTATTGGAAAGGAGATTAGAAATTTACTGCAAATAATCCTCATGTAATTGCAAACTATTTTAATTGCCATTTAAAACCTGATTAAGTTCACTTCTCAAATGCTTATAAAGAATTTCAGTCCCCTGATCTATCCAGCTTACTGCTAGATTTTCTTAAGTATAGATTATCTTCTCAAGTAAAATTATCTGACCTTTCCAAGAATTGGCATACAGCCTGTCTCCATGTCTTCACCTCCTGCTTGCTAATCAATCTATTCTAATTTGATTCCATGCTCTTTACGCCAATAACAACAAAATTGTTATTTTTGAGATCATCCCTATTACCTCTAGGTCATGAAGTCAATAAGCATTTTTGGCCTCTGGCCTATTGAATGGTCCCTCAACACAATGTAGCTTCACAACCATGGACAGTTATCCTCCTACAGCCAAAGTAAGCTTTTCTAAAGGAAAATCTGATAATTCTATGTCCCTGCTTGAAACCCTCTGAGGATTCCCATTGCTTTCAGGAGAAATGTAAACCCCCCTTTCAAAGCCTGTAGTGCCCCCATGGTTCTGGTCCCTCCCTATTCATCTCATACCACAACCCCCTTCAATTTCTCTCTCTGCCATAGCTTAGTTGTCTTCCTAAAGCACTTTGTATTCCAAGTTCCCTCTTTAGCAACTGATGTCTGCATTGCTTAGACATGTGCTTCCTCACCTTTAACCACTTTCACTGAAATTCAATCCTAAAAGTTCAGTTATCATTTATTCAGGGAAGACTCAAATCCCGCATTGGAAGCAATCATGCTACTATGTCATGAAAATGGCCACAGCAGCAGTTTATATTTGACTGTATAATTATTGGATTGTCTGTCTCCATCACTAGGATGGAGGATGTATGTTCAAGGGCAGCAGCGACCATATGTGGTTTTGCTCACAGTTGAATTTCCTGTAAGATGGCTGGCATACTAAACATCATATAATAGCTGATTTTTAAAACATACTCCTGAATATAAGTGAATCTCTATATTGAAAATCTAAAATGCATTATTCTAAATCTGGGCACACTTCAGCTTCACAATCACTTGTGTTTTGGGCCACGCAATCTACTCAAAATAGGCCAACAAATCCCAAATCTTCAAATTTTAATAAATAAGTAGAAATCAGGATTACAGAGATAGGACAATAAAGTGGCAAAAGAAGCTCTGTACTATAAACATGTAGTATTTTGGATATAGCAAGCATTGAATATCTGCCGAGCATAAGAGCTTATACATTCAAAGATGATACACAATTCAAAGTAAAATTTTGAAGATTAGACAGACTCACCTTGACTTCTACAGTCTCAAAGAAAAATTTAGGGCCAAAACTTCACATAGAGAACTAGATTTCAAATATTTTAAGGGAATATGCTAGCAAAAAATGGAATGAGAAAAGACTGCCTTAGGAGGTAACAAATCTTCATTATTGAAGATTTTCAAGGGAAGTCTAAACACCATTTGCCAAAGATATTACAAAAGGATGGGCAAGATATTTCTGTAATGAAACTATTATTCAGAATAATTCCTTTTGAAATAACAATATCTAAACTATCCTGTCTCCCATAATGCTTAACATAACATCTTACACAGGGCAGGATAATCAGGAGATATTTGCTGATCAAATTAGTTCACTGCTTTCAGAGAATATGGCAATTTATTTGAATATTTTTCCATGTGGACCATATCCACCGTTAAAGAGTGTTTTTTTTAAACATTTATTTATTTATATAAGCACTGGGGTACAAGCCAGAGGCACGGGAGGGTGAGAAAATTCACCAGAGACAGAGCAGGGAGCAGAACAGGCAGACTGATGAAATACACTACTGAGGGGAGCAGCGGGTGAAGAAGGAGAGGTCTGCCATGCCATGTGGGAATCTTCCTGGCCGGATGGGAATCAAACCAGCTGCAGACAGCTTCACAGAGCAGCGCTCAACCTGCTGTGCCACCGGGGAGGCCCAAAAGGGTGGCTTTAATTTTAGGAACCAGTAATAAAACATTAGAAGCCAAATTTGATGAACAAGACAGATATTCTGGGCAATAAATTTTAGCCTAACAAAGATTAAAAAGGTAGTTGAGATAGCATCTGTAACCATTTAGCAGAGTCTGCCACAGTGTAAATGCCCACTCAAGGACAGATATGGTTTTTGTTATAGACTAAATCTGAAAGTAACTTCTCAAAGAGGAATTATATAAGAGCAACATTGTAACAATGAATGTATAGAGGTTCTTCTAAAAGAAACAAACTCATTTGGAAATGTGGAAATTCTGGAGTGGAATTTTTGTAAAAATCAGTCTCAATACTAAGTTTTATTAACAATAACAAATACATGAAAACATGGCTTATCATTTTCGCAGAACCTTGATCTCAGGGGGTAGCCAAAATATGTAGAATCTGGCTGAGAATTTTCGATTTAAAGTGCTGAATACAAAATCCTCAACATTACAGGTCTATCCTATATGAATACCTCTCTCTTAAATACATATGGAAAATTCTATTCCAACACATGTGCCCTCTGGAGGCCCTTCAGTGGCTTCAGTTCCCCACACACTGTGCCTACGTGCTGATATTAGCAAACTGAATTTTCCTCCAAGAGAGAGAATACAGAAGAATAATAGAAATTAGAATCTTGTCCAGGAAACTCAGATTACAATGTGTATGCTATAATTAGAGTGCTTTAAAAATGTGAAAAAATGAAGTAAAACCTTTTGTGAAGGCTATTTCTGAAACAAGTGAATGATGATAAATTTTATGAAGAAAGAAAACAACACCTGGGCGCCCTCGGTGTGTCTGACATTTTCTGGCAGGGCTGCTGGATATCTCTGCTGCTGAAGTTTCACTTTTTTCTGCACAGACTTCTTCATCCTATTAGTCTCTGAGATATACTCTCTATCAGAGTCTGTCCCTTTTGTGCTTCTTTTCCAGCCTCTGTGGCTTACCGAGGGCTCATGGGATACAAAAGACTCAGGCTTGAAGTCATTATCCAAAGGTCTGATTTTCTGAGTTTTCATGTTTTCCTTAAATTAAAAAAAAAAACATGCTTTTATTTTCTGGTGGTCAGCTTATTCATAATCACATTTCTTTCATAACTTTGTGACATTAAGTAATATTTACTATTAATAAAATCATTAAAAGTCAGAAGCTTAAAAAAGAGATTTTTGGCAAATGTATGGTGTTTTAAAGGTTCATTTAGAATTTGATTTAGCAGAGCTGAACTGAGTTAAGAAATCTTATTTTGAAGACACAGAAGACCCCAAATTGAGAATATACTATGCTGCCTGACTCCTCCACAAGAGATTTTCTTGACTTGGTCTCCCTTGTGCATATACCTCAGTGACCTACCTATAGGATGGTTGATAATAACCAAATTATCCAGTAGTCAAAAAACCAAAATTATAGTCTTCCCCATCTTTTTGTGTGTGACTGATCCAACTGAAAAACTCTAAAAGTGCAAAAATATTCCCTTTGAATTTTAAAGTTTAGATAGTAAGAGATAATTTGAGGAATTGGACATTCCGCAAACAAACAAAAAACCCCACAGACATTACATATACAACATATTTGTAGGTAAACATATACACACACACAAACTGATCAATCTCTCCGTGTGTGTGTCTTTTTCTATGGACTACATCTTGGATTACACTGGAGAGAAATACACTAAACTATTTTAAATTGTCATCACCTCCAGACAGTAGACAAGGGGTGATTTAAATTTTCTTATTTATATTTGATTTTCTGAGTTTTCCCTAATAAAGTATGGCTCTAATAAGAACAAAATTGATGGCAGTTTAAAAGTATCTATTAGTGTTTCACTTCCCAAACCTCAAAAAACAAGACATTTGGCACCTGATAAGTCGTTTCCTTCACAGTGAAAACATGATAGAAGTGACTCAATTCTATTTTAATTACTCACCTTAGATGCTGAAGTTTGGAAGGTGGTGGTGAATTCAGTGATCCTACTTGCTGGTATAAACTGAGGCTTTTATGGAAAAAAAAAAATAAGATAAACATAAGTAAAAAAACAATGACCACAACAGCATCTCACTGATAATAATAGGTCTTTTCATTTTAGATGAACCATAACTATGTTCTGATTAGTAATGATGCACAGTACAAGAGAAATCAATGGTTTTGATTTTCTACAAAGACTATCACATCTGAAAATGAACAGGTTTACCACTTTCACTGCAGTCTGACTGCCTGTTATTTCTTTTTCTACTTTCCTTGCACTATCTAGAATCTCCTATATAAATACTGAGTAGGAGTGCAGACAGCAAACCTGCCTGCCTAACCCATGATCTTAGGGAAAGAGAATTTAGTCTTTTACTAATAAGAGTGATTTTAGCTGTAATATTTTTGTAGATGCTCTTTTTCACACTGAGGAACTTCTGTTTCTGACTTGCTGAGTGCTTTCATAAGAAACAAATGCAGTTGTTTCATTTTTATCATTTAAAGCATCTTATTTACATGACATATATTCATATGGGTACCTTGTTCATATTTTAATGATTTTTTGATATGTTATCTCATTTAACTACTTCTATCAATAGTTCATTTCTTAAACACATCATTTCAAGAATTAGGCTTTCCAAAAATAGCTTTCTGCCAGTTTTCTATAGGAAGGGTGGGTGGAGGACAAGATTCTAGGCAAGGTTTCTTTTTCTCACAAAACTAATTTTCTTCTCATGGCTACAAACACTGTTTCCACACATGCAGCTTTTTTGAGCCCTTTTAAAGCACCCACATCTACTACCAAAGGAGGTCCTGGGGGCTCCTGATGCCCTCTGGGTACTGTAGACAAAGGCTACAGCTTTTCATCTCTAAATGAGCCCTTCAGCAGTCCTGTAGCTGTGCTGATTCTTCCATGTGTTGGGACCTCTCATCTACTTCTCTCCCCTTCCTTCCTGATGGAATTCCTACATTATCTTGACAGTTCTGAGCAGCCCTAAGCAATATTTTGATACACATTTTCTAGTTTGACTGAATTTGTGTTTGAATTTTTGCTTCCTATTTTCCATATTGTTCTTAGAAAACTTTCAGGGGCCTCCCTGGTGGCGCATGGGTTGGGAATGCAGCCTGTGAAGCTGTCCACTGCCTCTGCAGCATGAGTTCGATCCCTGGCCAGCCAGGGAGCAACCCACATGGCACAGCTGACCTCTCCTGACTCGCTCGCTGCTCCCCCCTCAGCAGTGTATTTCAGTCAGTCTGTCTGTTCTGTTCCCCACTCTGTCTCTGGTGAATCCTCTCACCCCCACATCTCTGGTCTTTCTCCTAGCTCTTGTGTGCATAATAAATAAATCTTTTTTTTTTTTTTCAAAGAAAACTTTCAGAAAGAGAATGGGCAGATGCTAATTTTATACAGTCATATTTACACCAAAAGTCTCCTGTAACACTTCTCCCTACCTTTCTCATGGTATGTATCACACTGGCTTAGTTAGGTGTTAACCTTTGTGTCTGTCTCAATAGATTATGAACGCCCATACTTCATTTTTATCTACAGTAACTTGCACAATGTTTAGCACTATATACTCAATAAAATGCTGATGATTGACAGGATAAACAGGTGCTCCCAGAGCAGATGGCTCTTCTCTTCCACAGCTGAAACACACCACAAGTTGACTCTGCATTCATAAAGTGTCTATTTTCCTAATATCTGTCAAATATTATCACACCTTCTCTGATGCTTTTTATTAAATGCCAGTGTATACTTTCTTTCAGGGCCTATGTCACCTTGAGGTGAGTCTTCTTCTTGATATAGCAAAATGGATTGAACCTAGCCTAGAAACAATGTAGGACACAGTCAGTTCCTTGGGTTTGTATCATTTTTTGATACAAGCTTAAAAATAATTACTTTTTGTTATGTAGTATTATTGTAATTATTTTTGAACTAGAGTAATGAGCAAATAAAAATTTCTATAAATTCCATACATTTTCTTCTTTTATATTAATTTCAGAGTAGTGTTTCTGCAAAAGAACATCATACTTTATAGAAAACACAGCAAAAATGTCTTAACTGCATTTTGAATAGAAAAGTAATAATAATAATGGTCAACTGAATCATTTTAAGGCAAGACAGAAGCCAACACAAACACTGACATCACCTTCAGTAATAGGATGAAGGCAAAATGTACTAGTAACTGGAAAAAAAAAAGAGATGAGGGAAGAAGTATTCACAGATAGTTGTAATGAGCACCATCCCACCCCCTGGCTCTCTACCCAGAAAGTTTTACTACAGCCATTGAATAAGTTCAGCTTATTTTCAATAAATGCACACATCCTTAAAATGTTGAGTCCCTTTCTCTTACCCATCTGAGTCCTGCTCAGCTTTCTCTTTAACTTTATCACATAGTTGCCTTCACCTTCTAACTCCACTCTGTTCAAGCTAAGTCAACTTACAATTCTGAAATCCTTTACTTCCTTATGATTTACAGTTCTAATTTCCTTAAGAGTTATTGTCAGTGCAGTTCATAGTTCACAGTACAGTTCAGGTTCCTCTCTTTTCTCTCAAAAATTTATTATTATCCCCTCTTGATTTCTCTTCCATTTCTGATTCTGCCTTAACAAATAGTTCATCACTTCAGCTAGCTCTGTAACACCCATCTTAATAATCTCCAGTCTTGGATTAATCAGATCATTGGTTATTTTCCCTCTCTGATAAAAAATTTGCCTAACTGCTGAATCCACACCATTAAAAAGTGCACAGTTCTCATCTTTTCGATATCTTTTTACTCGTTTTTAATTAGCTTCTGTCTGCCCTCCTCATAAACCCTGCTCCAAATCCTCATCATGCCCTCTGTAAAGTCTGCTTTTTCACTTTCAGTCAATAGCTCTGCCTCTTCTTTAGAGAAACAGGAAACAAAATTAAGTTACTAGGTATGTGTGTTATGTACAACTTTAACTTCTCTTCCACGATCTGAGGAAAAAATGTCCCTCTTCTTACTCCACCTCAGACTCCCTACCTGGACCCTAGTCATCCTGAGGTCCCACCATCGTTTTCTACATCTGTGAGGCCTCATCTGCACTGTGCAGTTGCTTCAAGTTCACTGACAACTCCTCTTGGCTCAGAAACATTACCAAATCTCTCCCAACTATTACAAATTTACCTTTATTCTACCTAACCCGGGAGCTATGACCCTATCTTTCTCTGCCCCTTCAGTACAAAATTTCTCAAATATCTTACTACTTATGGCTCCCATTTACTTTTCATTGATCCCTCAATCCACCTGGCTTCCTTTCTGAATCTTGCTGAGGAGAGCAGCGGTTACTGCATTATAACAACCAATGGATCAAAATAATGGAAGACAAGTCACAGACTGGGAGAAAATATTTCCAAAGGAAATGAATGAAAAAAAGACTGTTATCTAAAATATACAAAGAACTCTTGAAACTTAGCAGTAAGAAAACAAAACAAGCAATCTGATTTAAAAATGGGCCTTAATAGACACATCACCAGAGAAGATATACAGATGCATATAAGCTTATAAAAAGGTGTATCATATGTCACCAGAGAAATGTAAATAAAACAACAATAATATAATACTACACATATATTAGGATGATCAAAATCTGGAATATTGACAATAACAGTTGCTGGCAATAATGTGGAGCAATGAGAATGAGAAAGGATTTTCATTCTTTGCTTGTAAAAATGAAAAATGGTACCACTCCTTAGGAAAACAATTTGGCAATTTCTTATAAAGCTAAACATCCTCTTAACATGTGATCCAATAATTTCTCTCTTTGGTATTTACCCAAAAGAACTAATACATGTTTATATATGTACATTTTAAATGTTACTAAAATAATTTTAAAGGGGAGAAAAAACCTGGTTGTATTTCCAACGTGCTAAGTTGACTTAGTTTTAAATAATTTTAAAGAAAAAAAAACAAAACAAAACACTTGCAAATGGATATTTATAGCAACTTATTTACAACTGCCAAAACTCGGAAGCAACCAACATGTCCTTCAACTGGTGAACAAATAAATAAGGCTATCGTAGAATCACACAGAGAAATATTATTCAGCACCAAAAAGAAATAAGCTATGAAGCTATGAAAACACATGGAGGAATTTTAAACGCATACTCCTAAGTGAGAGAAGTCAATCTGAAAAACTCATATACTGTATGATTTTAACTATATGACAATTCTGGAAAAGGAAAACTATGAAAACAATAAAAATATTATGGTTGCCAGGGGTTGAGGCATGAGAGATGAACAGAGAATGTAAGATTTTTAGGGCAGTGAAAATATTATTTATGATACTGTAACAGAGGATACATGTCATTTTATATTTCTTCAAACTCATAGAATATACAACACTAAGTGTGAGCCCTAAAATAAATATGGGCTTTGGATGATGTATCATCCAATGATGTATCATTGCAGGTTCATCAGCCATAACAAATGTACTATTCTGGTGGTGGGTGCTGACAACGGGGAAGACTATACATATGTGGTGGTGGGGGGGGGCAGGATGGATAGGGGAAGTCTCCCTCACAATTTTGCACTGAGCCTAGAACTGTTCTTAAAAAATAAAGAGAAGAATCAAGGAAGCAAAACACTAAAATATAAGATTAGAAGAAAAATTTTCTAAAGCATTAAGACAAAAAGTAGGATATCTCCATTTTATCTATTGAAACATATTCTGTAGATACAGTGATATACATGCAATTAGTGAACCAAAATAAATTGGTAAATTTTTAAGTGTACTAATGAAACTAAGTATACTTAATAAAAGATGGTACTAGCATCTCCAAAAGTTTTCCTTCCTAAGTTAAAGACAGATATTTCCACAAATAGATACATTTCTACTAACAGATGAAAATTTTCAGCACTGGTTTCAGAGTTGGCTTACAATTTTAAAGTATGTATTTTTTATCATCACCTTTTCAGATTTTATAGAATTACTGCAACCCTAGGAAGCTTGCTAATATCAGTATTTATTTTTATATGATAGTTATGTACTCTCCTGGCAAGA